GAGACGCATCACTCAAATCAAGAAATATTTTACCATTCAACTATTTACTTCATGTAGAATCAGTACTGCAAGTATTGTCGAAGGGTTCATGTGCACTTTAATCATTAATTCATTCATTCTTCCATTCATCAATTCTTGAAAGTCTCAATCTTATGCTAGAATTTGAAAAATCAAACATAACCCATCGCTTTTGAGTTTACCGATAATAACTGTTGACATTTTCAGAGATTCAAATAAGGACCAAATACAAGAAATATCACCACAAGCTTACAGATCCAGCCTACCACAACAAGAAATAAATGGTTCCTTTAGTCCATTCAAGCAACCCTTGACGAAATGTTATAGTGATGGTGGGCAGGGGCGCAGAGCTGGTGTCTGCGATGCTACTGATCTTGGGAAACATCACAGAACWTGGGACAGAGTTGCATGCAAGAGACTTTGAAGAGTAAACAAAAACAAGACTAGCTGATAATGGAAGAGGTGATAATGATGATGATGGTGATGGTGATGATGGTGATGATGACAAGGTCGATGGTGATGAAGATGACAATGATAATGATAGTCAATAATTATCTTGTTTTGTATTATTGTAATATTTTCTAACATTTTCTGAATGCAACAGATTGTCTCTTTTAAATGCCTTTATCAATATATTATAAATATTTTAGCATAAAAACCTAATAACTTTAGAATTTATCAYATCTGTGTATTTTACAGAGGTTATTTTGCTTATTATTTTTATTGTTATTTTACAATGACGTCATCAACCAAGAAAGACCGTATGAAAACGACTTCCGGGTCCAAAATTAAAGGGGGACTAGCACGAAAATCATCCAAATTTTAATTCAGCTGAAAYTTTACTGGAATAACCCTTAAAGGTCTAATAATCACTGGTTAAAGTTATTTCCTGATATTCGGATGGGAAGTATTATATTTTAACGAATTTTTATAGGTGTCTGTGACGTCATACACTCAAATACTAAACATTACATTACCTTACTTAATATTACATTACCTTAGACATTAGCAAACTGCAGGGCTCATGAATTTGTCTTAGTGTAATTGCACCGGACTACAAAGTTGTTTCAGGGTTTGATAATTAAAGTTGATGTTTAATAGAAGCTTATAATCTTGAAGCGAATTTTGCTCCTGCGTAAACCACAAAGGAATGCTAATCTGAATTGAGCTTTTTGCRACATCAATAGTAAGGAAAACCGACTTCCCGGTCCTAAAAGAAAGCAGTTCGATAGAGATTTTTCATACTTTTTCTTCACTACAGAAATTGTTGTCAATAGTTCTAAATTATTCAGGTGGAGATTAAACGAGAATATTTTCGCTTTAATTTAGGGGCTGTGATAAGCAGATGAACTCGGAAATAAGCCAAAACTTAAAAGATCTATCATTTTGGTTAAAATTTGGGATAATTATYGATTATAGATTTGAAACTTTTACAAAATTCCTTAACTTAAAGAAGAGACCTAACAAACTTTACTCAGATGTGCTGCCGAGTCATAAAATCGAACATGAGTGTAGTATGGCTACACCACCCTGGAGTCCCATCACCACACCACCCTCATGATTGACATACCTCTGCATCCGGGCCTTCAGTCCATTTGTACTCCCAGTATAACGTATGCGTATCCCTCCTCTCTCCTTTTGTATCATTTGTTAAAGGTACTCCMTGCTGGTTATGACTCTAAACGATGCATACAAAATTATATGAGCTATAAGCAATGGACTATTTCGACRATGCGGCGTCCATCTTGAAACGCAAGGCATTATGGGTCCCCAGGGAGAAAAACATTACAAACATGTTGAAATAAGGAACCACGATATTTGAGAACTTTTGTCAGTTGCGAAACTGTGTGTTTGTTTTAAATTCATACATGTTCAGTTGCTGGCTATGAATACAGAATTGAGTTGGTGAACTAGTASAGTACAAACACTATAAGTGTGCAACATAAATACCACTAAATACTGCCAAATTATGCTAATCCTATTGTWTTYTATTGYTYAAWTAGCACTATTTACTACTAAATAGTGCAAAGTGTTGCGCACTTTTAGTGTTTGTACTCTAGAACAAAAGTGAAACCATTAAATAATGGAATTAATATATTTATCGGCAGTTTACCATATCTTGTCGTCGTCTTCTTTCTGCCAGTCCCACTTTTATTTGTCGGTCATCAATTCTCTTATAAATAAACAACCAATATGGCATCAGGATGAATGCCATGCATTTGTATGGTATTGCCTCTCACTGTGCTTCACTGATTATATTATCAATGGTAATCATCATTACGATGTCATTCAAATCCTCATCCTCATTCTTATCCTCCTCCTCCTCCTCCTCATCATGCTCATGATCATGCTCATCGTCCTCCTCCTCCTCCTCCTCCTCCTCCTCATCATCATCATCATGCTCATGCTCATGCTCATCTTCCTCATCATCATCATGATGCTTATGATCATGATCATGCTCATTCTCCTCCTCCTCATCCTCCTCCCCCTTCCCCTCCCCCTCCCCCTCCTCCTCATACTCCACCTCATGACATCTTTATCACCATACTTATCAATATCCTTTTTGTCCTCCTCAAAATTATTCTAGAATGTACTTACTGGGTGATTGTGCTGGCACCATCTTGTTGCTTTTGCAGCTGGGAAGAATATTAATAACAATAATATAATATTAGCTTGATCCTGAGACCTGATGCTTGCTGTCATTAGCAATCAACACAGGCATGCATGAGAGTGAGCCAATTTCAKACAAAAATGATTTATTTACATTTTTGCCAAAAATTGCCTGGTAGTCACGCTTACCCATCCATCATCCTTTTGATGGTGATCATCRCATATCTTGAATAAAACAATTATATTACCTGTTTCAACTTCTACAAAAGTGATAAAAGCAAAGCCTCTTGACATTCCTGTCTCAYGGTCTTTCATCAGCTGTTTTTATGGAGTACAAAGGACATCAGTCATATATTTAATTAAAATCTATGTGTTAAGTAAAATAAGCAACTTACAGTGGATGGTGTAGAGTGTTCAATGAGAAAGTTGATATACTTACTTAAATGAGTTGGTCAGAAATATTGAAGTTTATAAGTTATGTCCAATCACCATCACCATCACCATCACCATCACCATCACCATCACCATCACCATCACCATCACCATCACCATCACCATCACCACCTTTATTGTCGTCGTCATCATCATTCTCTTTATCGTCGTCGTCATCATCATCATCAAGCCTAGTGTGGTATGTGTAATCATGTAGGTTATAACCAGTTGCCATTTGTCAGTTAACAATCTGTGCCTTACACTGAAATCCCTTTTCTAGGGCTTTTTTTTGGAGTTTTGCTGTCGCTAATGCATGGTCTACAATTAGTCAACTGTTGGTGAAGTGACAGCTATGTGCTGGTRCATAACCAACACGTGTTGGTTGGTCATAGTTGCAGTACACTTGTAACTACTGAAGTCACAGCTAGTGCTCTAAGCATTATAAGGTAGTCTGCAGGACCCTTGGTAATTTGTTCCGCTAATAAAGTATATCATGCATTAATAATGTAAGACCAGGAGAATGCAATRCAATGCACAGAAATTGGCTCCTTCTTTAAGCACCAGACACAGTTTAAAACGTAATTCAATAGAAACAACAATGTAGAAGGACACCAGAATTCACAAAAAAATAATATTYAAACTTGTACACTGGTGTGACTTTATTGTAATTACCTTCATATAAGCAATCTCACCAAAGAATGAAAAATACTCTGCCAGGGTAACTACAGATAAGAAATCAATAAACAAATATAAAACATTRTAATATTGCAAAAAATGCTTCATATTAACACTTTTCTTATTGATTGATATGCAATGAATGAGACAAAAATTTCAAAAAGTTACTATCATAATTATACATACGGCCCCATCCAATTTTGTCAGTCCTCGGAATTTTCCTCATCCAATTATTTCTTAATTGGACAGCATGGAGTCCTATTACGTATACGAATCACCGGCATTGGATTGTTAAATTGTATATTATCAAACTTGTACATTTTCCTACCTGCTTTAGTGTCTTTGCTCAAATTTCCTATGTAAATCTTGGCACGAGGGTTATCTATTTTTAAAAAAGTGTGACATTATCATTATACTGCAAGTAAATATGGAATAATACATCTAGATAGGTTGTTAACTAACAAACAGACTAGTTTTCTCTTTTTCTTTTTCTTTATTTTATTGATTTAAAAAAGCTTTGGGCTGACCTCACAGATTGAATTAGATTTTATTGTCTAGATTTTAGAGTTACTATTAGTTACTCAAACATTTCTGAGGGATTTCAAAAAATCTTTGACATGAGGATATTATTTTCTGAAAGTTAAACAAATTTATTCATTTTTTTCATGATAGGCTTCAACTCTCAGTACATCGGTTCTCATTTTTTCTGGCGTAGCAACAGAAATTGAACTAAATTTCTGAAGGGGTTGATATTGAAAAGGGGATTTTTTCTGGAGGGGTAATGAAGATTACATCTCTATAGATCAAGGCTTTGTAGCATCAAGTGACYACGATAGCAATGGTAACTATGCCACCTTGAAAATTCACTTTTTCCAAGGAGGAGATTTTTTTTCTGAGGGGGAGGGGGGGTCAAAATTAATCAACCTCTTATGCAGGGGGTCTGGATATAAAATGGAATGGTCAGTGCCAAGTCCTATATTAGTTGAACTCCAGACACCAGAGCTAAGGGGTGAGTGCATTACTGTTACACTTCCTCAGAGCCAAATAAAAATCATGAAGACRAACAGAAACAAACAGAAAAATACGTCTTAAAATAATAGCCAAAAAGATCAGCACAGTTCAGTAAAAAATTGACTGAATGACAGTCAGCCAGCCAGTCAGCAAAGGACAGACAGACAGCCATACAGTAGACTTGACAAAAAAAATACAGCAAAACAGGCAAATTCAGATAAGTAACARACTTAATGAAACAAAAAATTAAAACATGAATATAAACTATAAAAAATACTATTAACTGTCCCTAAAAAAGAACTATAAGCTTAAACGTTTCTCCTTAAAAAAAATCTCAGTGTTGTTACTGATAAAACTCACATCTTCTCCTCTTCATGCCCGCGTTTAACGACTCCGCTGAATGTGTTTGGGCATGTAATGGCACCTTTGCATCCTCTCTAGTCTTTTGCCAACCTTCTACCTTCCTGCCTTGCTCTTTTGGTCTCTTTGCACCGCACACGTTACTTTTATAGCTCCATCCAAACGTCGCCATTTTGGAAAACTACTAACATACCACAGGAAGACCGCTCCGAGTTTTGTACTCCAAGTGT